TTGTTTTCGGGATGGCATAGATAGATTATGTCTTTAGGCTACAGCTTTGTTCTCTGGCTCTCACAGGTGGATTTATATATTCTTTTGAACTTTGAGTTGGCTTATTAATACCCCAAACATGATCATTTATACTCTCGTTATTCATTTTTTACAACTTAAAATGGCCACGTCGCCTTGTAAGTGCATTTTTAGCTTGTAGGTCTATGTGTGTATAATGTCTTTGGAGAAATAAAAGTTACACACAGACAAACTGTACGCCTGTCAGTTCCGGAAATGTCACCAATCAGTGATCTTGTAAAAGTATGTAAAGTGTGCTGGGGGTTTTTGGCTGCCAAAGGGCAGAGCTCTCCCGTATCTTACACCCCTTTGCTTCACTTTTAGCCACTCCTCAAATAGTAACGATATAGCAGGTGATTCCCATTCACTCCTAATGGCAGAGCTGTAATAACTAGAGGTGGGCGGATCGACCCAAATATCGATAGTATCTGGACCAACCCTAAGTGTTGGTATCAGACAGATACTAGCGTGAAAAGATCGATACTTTTTTCTGTCCAGTGAATTGAGAATTAAGATTTTTTTGGAAATGAAAAAAAAATTAATTATGCACTATGAAAAATGTTTTAACTTTATTCTGTTGACTATTGCATCTATTTTATTTAAAGGCAACAGCGCACTGAAAAAACAAATGCTGACCAAAGTGCTTTAGAGATGGGTACATTTACTTTCCAGGTCTCAAAAAAAAGAAAATTTAAAAATACATGAAAAGCTTAAAGATGTGTGGTGTATTATTAATTAATTGTTGTGGAAAGCAAAAATCCCAGTGATTTAGTGTTCATTTAAATGTGTGTCCCTTATATAAAGCTGCCTTCAGAAGTTAAAAGTATCTGTTCATGCTAATCCACAGTGCATCCAGGCAAAGGTCGGCACCTTCACTCAGTTTTCCTTGAAAATGTATAAAAAGCAGATTAGTTTAGATGAAGGGTTTGGATAGGTGTGAGAGTCCTTTATAGCACACAGAAAGTTACATAAACAGTATTCCAGTGCTTTTATAAAGACCTGGAACCCAGTTAAGTATGCAAAGAATTATTGCTGCATGAATTATAGTAAGAAGGATTATGTTCACGTACTGCGATACAAGCAGCCCTGACAACTATATCGTAGGCAGAATGGGTGCACAGTGGGCATGACCTTTTATTGATTTGAATGAGTTGAGATTACTTACTTTAGGATTACATAGCATTAAGCTCAGCTGTTCCACAAATGTCCCCTGCTTTGACCTAGCTTGACCTGCAATTAGACAGCAACTAAAGCCACCAAGAGTCAGTGACATACAGAGGATGAGACACTAAAAGAAAGAATTCATATTTTAAATTTATTTTGCAGCTCACAAAAAAAATTACTGCCAATTACCTCTAATTCATGCATTGTAACACTGCACAGATTAATTAATACATGTTGTTAGCTCTGTATTTATAAAGAGGTACTGCAGCTTTGACCCAATCAGAAAGTAAGTTCCTAAGATGTGGTTTATCTCCTGTCATTACTACCTGCTTCCCAAATCATCCTTTTTGCTGCTTTGTTCATGAGTTGCCCTGCATTCTGCCTGCACAAAAAGTTACTTCTGTGGGTGATTGCGGTGTTTTCCCAGATTCGCTGTCAATTTGGCCATCCATCTCACATTATGGGATTTTCTAGAAATTAAACTCAATATTTCTGGGCTAAATTTGCATACAACTCGGCTGTTATACTTTAATTGTACACTATGTCAAACATTATGTCATTCAGGACCCCCAACACGTCAGACCCAGGGTTAGCAATTAAACTTAACAATAAACTAAATCTTTTTTTTTTTCACTTGCTTGCTTTCATTTTACTGTATTCAAATGTCCATTCTCTTCAAATGTCTGTGTCTAACACACACATTCAGTAGGTGTGAGAAGGGTGTGTTACCCATCCTATCAGGTTAAAGTCTGCGTGTAGAATTACAGCATTGCTCTCTCCTGCAGGGACAAAGATCAGATTGCTCTTTCATGAATGTGTGCGTTTGTGAAGTGTGAGCTCTCTGAGGAGATGAGACAGCAGGACTTGTCCTGAATTCCTTTATATAGTAAAGGAATCGTGGAAAAGGTAGTGGTTTGGAATTATTTTAGGAAATACTTAATGCTTTTGCTTATGTACATATAAAGTAAAAGAAACAGTGGAGTTGTAACTTTAGTGGCTACGTTGCTTTTCACAGCATGCAAGCTATCGCACTTGTTTCTCTAATCTCCATATTAGTTTAGCTCAAGGATGCATTAACAGTAATACATGTTGAGCCTGGTGTTTGTACTGTTACTATCCAGGCCTTCAAAGTTTGAAATACTCCCCCTTTTATTTCACCCTCCCTTTCATTGCATCTGCCATATTGTGTCACCTTTTAATGGTTTGAATGAAGCCAAGTTCTGTGAGTTCTTAATTTGGCTACAGAGCCAAGCAACAATAAAGTTGCACTGCAACATTATTTTAGATGCAGTGAAACTACAATAATGCTCCTTGGTTTAATATTGATGTGCTGCGTGTTGTTCCTTCTGCATTCTTGTGAAGCTGCAGCAACATAATGTTCTCACTCATCGTACATCGCCGTGGCATCCTAAATGGCTGATGGCTCTTTAAGTGGATGGTGGGGTGGGGCTATATACCATGTGCTCTCTGTACACACCCCTTCCACAGAAGCAGCTCCTGTACTGCAATATTTGATTTGGTGTGTGCATCCCTAGTTGTGTGTGGGACTGTGTACAGCACATTAAAGCGTGTTCGTCCTCTGCTGTCTCACTTCCCATGCGTCACTGGTCCATGTGCTGCTGTTGTCAGGGAAACCCTTTGCCAGCACCGGCTCAACTTCCACCACTGGATTCGCACTGAATATTTTAACAAACCCCGCTCTCCTCAGTTACTCTGTGTTTGTGTGTGTGCTCTGTGCAGTCACTGCCTGGGTGATATGATTCTTCTGACAAGTTTGCATTCACACAATAGACCTAGCAAGGGAGAGCTGAAGCAGGAGAAAAAGGAATGCAGTAAAAGTAGTGACAGCAGAGGCGGCATCTCGGGAGTCAAAAGAAGCACAATCCTTACAGCTCTCGACCAAGCCAGTCTTGTGGATTAAGTCTTCTTTTCTAAGCCAGACTGCAAGAGCTCATCCTACAAGAGACTCTCTCACTCTGTTTTACTCTCTCTATGCCATTGCAGGGAGTATGGACTTGGCTCAGTGAGGTGCTCTGTTTGTCTCTTCCACGCTCTCCTTCATCCACTACATTTACTTTCCTCCATCTCCACCGCCTTTTTTCCCCTATCTCCTTACTCATGTTTCTTCTTCTCTCTGTCGCTTCTTCCTGCTGTCTTAAAGTCAGAGCAGCAACCTGAAGAAAATTGCTGTTAGCACTAGCTATTAGCTACCTACGTCTTAGAGAAGGTGGCTTTTAGGGGTGACCTCGTCCATCATCATCCTCTGGCATTCAGGACAGACCTCTTCCCCCACCTCCCATCCTCACCCAGCATCACAGGGTGGGATGGGACGGGGTTGGGTGAGTTAGGTTGGGGCTCAAGGGTTAGCAACAGGGTAGGCAATGCCAGATAGTAAAGGACGTGGGGAAAGAGGAGGTGGGTGTTTGCAAGGGAAGTGGAGGCTGAGGAAGCAAGGTAACCGTTCAGCTATCCCAGCACTTTTCACCATCACTGAGGAGGAGGAGGTACAGAGACGAAGAGATGCTTGCAAGAGAAAGAAAAAAGGTATGGATGAAATTGAGAGCAGTGTAAACTACATTTTCTCCCTTAAATACTGTGATGTTTGAGCTGATTTAAAATGTTAAAGTGTGTATGTGTGTGTGTGTGTGTGTGAGAGAGAGAGAGAGAGTGAGAGAGAGCATTATCTGGGGCAGAGAAGCTCTTGGGGCACAGAGATGTTTAACCAGACTCCAGAGAGTCGCAGCAGTTTAAAGAAAGATCTGAAAATGTGGTCCATTAAAGACAAATGTGTCTATATGCAAGGCTAATGATGTTGAATTAGGAGGTAGGAGTTGATACCCCTAGCAACATGTAGTAATTGTTTGATTTGTGCACAGTTTGCTTTTACAAACTCCTCTAAAACTGTGAAGCGCAGCCATCCAGAGACAGGCGCCTGACAGGTGTGATGAGGAAGCACAGTTTTACTGTTTGTGTGAGTGAAAATCAGCTGACAGGGCAAGATTGACTCAAGGACTGCAGATGAGAATGGAGGTGCGGCTCACTGTACACGTGATCTAAATGCATTAGTAAGCAGAGCAGTCGGGATGCTGTTACAGTTAGAGCAGGCATAAATGTGCTGCACGTTAGCTTTCCCCTTTCACACAATTCAGAAAGATATAGTGTTAGATTTAATTTCATGCCTTATCTAATGTTGAGATGATGCTGTGACCAGTTTTTTTTAGTAGAAAGAACAAAGCTAGATGGTTTTCTTCAAGTAGTGTAGTATTACAGACTGACTCTACAAATCATGCATATGCTACATTATATATAAGGAACAAGACAAAGTGGCTAGTTTCATTTCTAGATAATTGCATTTCCTGTTTGAATCCAACCATCTCATGCTGGGGGATGTGTAGTTGCATCATGGAGCAAACATACATGTAAGATATGACTGAAACAGGTGGAAGGAGAGCAAACTGCTGGGTTTACTGTGAAGTCTGAAATTGAAGTAGCTGCTTTTTTTCACAGTTATCTTTATTATGAAGTCATGGTTGGTGCTGTTGATTGGACTGATTCAACACACGACTGTTAGACTAAACTGATTTGTTTTGTCTCAAATAGTTCTTTCTACTTTGACCTTAGCCTGTAATTTCTCAGTGATGGTACGGGCTTCATTACTCATGTACAAGTCAAATGGTTGATGGAGCTATAAGAAGTGTGTGGATTTTCATTTGCCATTGATTGTTAATAGTAAACAAGATGACTTTATTTGAGAGCATTGGTTTGTATGCATATTCTAGTGTCAGTGAAAATTTGTCGAGCAAAAATTTGTACTAACAAAATTTTTTAGAAAACTTTTGAAGATGGGAACATTCAAAATTTTCCAGTATTGGATGACAGAGTTTTCCTCTCATGATCTGATTTGCAGCTTGGCCCTGCAGCGTGCAGTGAGTGCAGCTTTTTGTACTAAAAAGCAGAAGCCAGCGTTCTTGCACCTGTTACCCGGGCCTGTGTGCCTCTCCTAGAGCTATAAAGGAACACTCCCATCCCTGCCCCCCCCTTTTTTTTTCCTCTGGTGGTTGGGGCTTACAGTTTAGCTTAGCATTAGCAGCAGCTAATCCTCTCAGGCTGAAGGGAAGGAAAGGAGCCGTACAGCGTGCTATCCGCTGGCCTGGACAGCGGAGCATTAATCGCTAACTCTGACCATTTAATCTGACTGGCAATGAATGCAGATAGATTGGGGGTGGGGAGCGTGCATGCACATACACACATACATGCAAGCAACAGAACGGAGGGAGGGGCGGGCAGATTAAACGGTGACACTCTCACGTCTCACTCTCTGTTACACACATACTCTTGTTACACAAATATACATGCATACACATGGACAAAAGGATGGGGTTTGGAGAGCTGCCACAACCTGTCTCACACACTGGCTCTCAGCAGCAGTGACACCAACCACAGCTGACCTCTCACTCTTTCTCTCACCCTCTCGTTTTCACTTCCCATTTTTTCTTACTCTGGAAACAGTTGAGTTTTGGATGGATTTCTTTTGACTGCCCTCTTTGCCCCCCCCTCCACCTCACTGCAACATGGATTTCATTGGGTCACTCTTATCAGTGAAAGATGCTTTCAAGAAGTAGGAATGTGGTTTCTGGTCCTTCGATTCGACTAGTCAGAGTGGGATGCTTGCCAAGAGCTCAGCAGGTGCAATCTTGGAATTATGAACCACAATCCAGGTAAAGCCTTAAACCCAGAATTTTGTTTTGCCTTTATTTAATCTATTGAAATGGCGTACAAAAGAAAAGAAGTGACAAGAATGACTTGCAGCAATGGTCCTGTTTGCTAGGAGTTGAAATATGGGACTTAGCTGCAAGTTTGGGGTTTTTTTTAGCCCTTTTGGTCAGCACCATAACCTCTGGGCTATTGGGTCACCTGTGTCCTAAACTTTTGCTGCCAAATCCACATTCATATAGTACAAGGTACTTAATTGGGAATTAACAGGACTACAAAAGCAGCAGCATCAGTATGCTTTGGATTTGGCTTTGTCCTCGAATATTTCATTTGAGATCAAACCATTGCCGTGCTGTCAGTTTTAATACGAGGTGTTTGCTGTCAGTTCAGATGATCCATGTTCTTTTTTTTCTAAATGGGCTTCAAATGGGCTGGGGTCCTTAGGGACTAAGTAAACCGCTATACAAATACAGGCCATTTACCAGAGATTCAAAAGGATATGTGTTAGCCGAATATGAATTTAAACACTAAGAACTCATACTCATAAAGACATTGCTTAAAATCACGTCAGCTGGAGTGAAACCAAAATGTTTTGTACGTCTGTCTTAATCTTTTGAATCTAGACTTTTGTAGGACTTCAGGTTTAGTATGTGTATTCTTATGTTCCTGGTTGACAGTTGGTTGAAAATATGAAAGAATCTTATATAAAAGTGTAGCAAAAGGTGGTGGACATGAGTGTAGCCAGCCATTTATTACTGGGAAGTGGAATTATGTCACACGTGAAACTGACTTTGGTGTGTTTGCGAAGGCTGTTAAGCTGCTGTCCATTGCTCACAAGCAAATATGCTCGCTGTTATTTGAGGTTTGTCGGTTTATGACCTCTACAACAGATGGGTGAGTCTGTGAGACGCAGTAAGAGGATATAAGCTGCACAAGTCCAACATATTAGTATTTTTTCTGTAATATTTTCAGCTGAAAAAACACAGACAGTGCAGATTTGCGATGTTATGGTGAGACTGCGTCATCTGGAAAAATGTTTTGAACAAAGGAAACAATGAGAAGACGTATGAACCAGAGATGTGGAGATACATTTTGTCTGGTTATCAAATTCCACTGATTGTTATAAGTAAAAGGCTTTAACTGCTTTCGTAACTATATTGTACAACATGCATGTACCTTTTTCAAAGTATAGGAATTGAAGGAGTGCATTCGTTCTCCGTTTACTTTTATCTGCAAATGCTCTGAAGGACATCTAGCTAGGAGTTACAGTAAATATTTATGAGGTAAATCAAGTTGTGTAAATATGGGCCACGTTGTTAATGTCAAAATTTCAGTTCCTTTATTCCAGTAATTTTTTAATACTTTAAGAGGCAATCCTCTTTTCTCTTCTTCTTTGTATTCTGAATATTTCTGTGAGAGTGTGGTTCATTGATTAAACCGGCCAATTATTAATCTTTTCATACTTAGATTCCTACAGATGACTCTTCTAATTACAGTTTGGGTGCAAGAGGCGCGGTACACCCTGGACGGGTTGCTAATGTCATTTAATTTCACATGGGATGAAAGTGTCTCTCTCTTGTCTTGACTTTTTTAGGAAGTGTTATTTCTTATTATGTAGTTTTAAGTATTCCCAGCTGATTAAAGTGAAGTGCATCAAATTAAAGAAATTGGTTGTGGTCTTTGACAGTCACCTACTGGCTCATTGTGCGGTAGTCCACTCGGGTCATTAAAACGCCCACTCCATCACAACATGAAACTTGAAGTCAACTTGTATAAATGAAAAGGCTCATTACTTTGCCTTTTAATGTATTTGCAGGGGCTCCTGGCCTTTCATTCAGACTTGACTTCATCTCATTTAAGCCATCTTTTTTGTTTACCCAAAAGCCCATTCACGTATGTCTCGTTAAGTATCTGACTTCAGTGTATTATCCTCATCATTCAATAAACTGAATCTTTTGTTTGAGGAAAAGGATTTCAGGGGAAGAGAATAAACAGACCAGACTTGTTTTTACGTGGCCCAGTCCAGCCTTTCCTCTCATAACAATAGCCTATATTAAACCACTTCCAATGCCAGTCTACCCGAGGCAGGGCAGACCTATGAATGCTTGTGTACACACCTCTGTAGATGTTCCATAGACTGTGACATACAATCCGTCTGCAGCTATGCCCTCACACCCTTGATCTTTGTGATTCGCCCTAAAAACCTCTCGAGGTGTTTGGATGGAGACGTTGGTGACAGTTTAGATTCATAAGACTTTCTGCAAAACAAAATATCATAAATTACCAAGTACAGTGAGAGTAAAGTGAAAGGATGACACTGTTTCTAATATACTAAAACTGATCAGCTTGCAAATGAAAAAAGGTATTTGAAAGTAGTAGTTAGTGGAACTTGTGTTCAGACTGATGTTCTCTTTTACCTTTTAGGAGGAAGGAGGTTCAAATTTTTACTCAGTCCTTGATCTTTATCAACTCTTAAGCCACACCTCATGCCCTTACATTTTGCTAGGAAAATTGGGAAATGTTGCAGTGAGTCAATAGAAAGCATGCAACATAAATGGAAATACAGTATTAGGTTTGTGCAAGCTTTCTTGTAATTTTCAGCTGTTGTTAATCTAGTGTAGGTTTTTTTGTTGTTGTTCATTAGGCCTGCCACTTCTTTTGTCCTCACTGCACAAAAAGCTGGGATATGCGAAGCTTTTTGGCTAATAGCAGTTTTTGAATCACCTTATTAGTGCAAAAATATTCATTTATGCGTGTCAGACTCTTATGAGCTTTTATTTTTTTTATAGATTCAAATAAAGAGGAACAGACTGTGTTTTTATTACCAGCTGGTAGTAATAAAGTCCCCAAAGATACAACTTTAAATTGATTTTAAAACTGAACGATTCATAGGTCAGTGTTAACTGCCTTAACCAGCAAACAAACAAACCTCTAAAATGACCAGGTAATAGAACTGGAGTGAACATGAGTGGAAAAACCCAAAACAAAAAAGTGAAAAAAAACTTTAAAAGACCTTCAGAAAGTCTGGAGAAGACCACTTCAAGACCACTTTAAAATTGACAAGTTTGGCTGCTTGGAAACTAAATATAAAGAAATGAGACACTTTCACAGTACTGTAAACATGCCTGGAAGAAAATAGTAGCATGAAATCAATCAAAAAAGCCAGGATGTTGAGAAATGATTCAGTGTTTACTCTTAATGTCATGTAACTATAAAATTCATTGAGACACAGATTTCCATCTGTAACTGTAGATATGGAACTTGTACTTGTACTCCATCCTGTCCTCTTTCTGTAAAGAAAAGAAATAGGTGATAGAGAGACTTGTGTAGAATAGGGCATGATGGCTGTGATATTTAAAGTGGAGTCCATCTTTTTCAGTTTATCAGATTAGTCAGGGGGGATGATTTATTTTGGTCTTTGGGTTTGTGGGACAGGGTTGGTCTCTGTGGAGACTGAGGAGTCTCTCTCTTATCACCACACACAGGAAAGGACTGTGTTGAATGCTTGCTTAGTACACCTACAGTATTTATTAATAGTATACAATTTTTCTAATCCTACCCGTGTAAATTTATGCGTCTGGTTCATCTGCATCAGAGCCAGTATAACGTTCTGTGTCCAGGAAGCTAACCTGAAAGCGCTGAGTCACCCTATGGTGCAATTAATCAATAGCCTAGCTGTGAGCTTGGTGGAAACACTGCACCTTCATGGCCACATCTATGAATAGCAGGAAGACAGTGAAGTGCATATTGTTTTATTGCATTTAGTTTTTCTGTTGAGCAACTCGGCAAAGCCTGAAAATGCCGCGGAGACCACCTGCAGACATTTTTTTTCTTGTGCTTGTGTCCCCCTCATACCTCCTATAAAACATGGCTTTCTTTTACGTAAGATGTTGAACTTCACTTTTCAATTCATACAATCTGTCTTTGATGATCACATCATAATTATAAGAGCACATGGGGTAAATTAGTATTTTCACATGTGGTCTCAGATAACAGAATATTATGTTATCTGAGACCACCAGTGTTATTTGTATGGGAGTTATATATATATATTTTGCAAAAAATAAACCAAAATCATTTCATATCCTTCTACAGTGCACCCTTGACTTTGATTGATGTGTTCTGTGCCATTGGTTTACTGTAGGCATGTTGTGCTG